ATCAGCAGATAGAGCCAAAAAGCTATGCTTTCAGTGTTCTGGTTTAGTCTCCTGGTTTCAAAACCTGTAGAATATAAACTGGCATTTACTGGCCACAGATCTCTTGTTTCTGGGCTCTGTTCATGATGCTCTGTTATCTCACATGATCACTCAATCTTATAAATAATTGAGGCATGAATCTATCCTGACTCCAAGCCTCTTGACCATTTTCACTTGAATAGTTTTGTCAAAATCCATGGCCCAAGTGATTTTTCCTTCCCTTCAACTCTTACCCTTTCTTGTACTCTTTAATTTAGGGCACACTACCACCTTCTATCCAACTCCCTAAGCCAGAAACAAAATATCATACATTCTTCCTTTCATTCCTCACTCCATCAAATCATCAGGTGTTTGCTGGGGTCTGAATGTTTGTGCTCACACAAATTCACATTAAAATCCTAACCTTTTAGGTGACAGTATTAGGAATTAGAGGATTTTGAGACTGATTAGGTCATAAGGGTAGAGACCGCATGAATGGGATTTGTGCCATTACAAGAGGTCCAAAGCAGGTCTCGTGCCCCTTTTCCATGAGGACAAAACAAAAGACAGCTAGGAAGCAAGCCCTTCCTAGCCAGACATCAAATCTCTCAGTGGTCTGATATGGGACTTTTTGCCTTTCAGAACTGTGAGAAATAAATTTTTGTTGTTTATTTATTTTGGTACGTGGGATCAAACTCACAGTCTCACGCTTGCCAGGCAGGTGCTTATGTCTCTAAACCAAATCCCTGGCCCTATTTTTTATTTTAAAGAGGATAAAACCAAACAAAATAAATCAGAATAAAGCCAATCAGAGCAAAACGATGAAAGTGATACAGGATTTCAAAGCAAGATAAATAGGAAATCAACAATGGCTACCATAATGCCTCTTGTTATCTTCAAAATGCCCAGACTATCAGACACAAGCATGTAAAATTAACCAAATGATACAAGAACTAAGTTGCTTCTTTATATGTCAGTTATCTTTTCAGAAATTTCAGGTGTGAGACTTCTAATTTCTACTATGTCTGTGTTTCCTGAACTTGTACTGTGTGGGCTGGAGGACTAAGATTGTATTTTTCTCTTTCATCTTAACTTTCCCTGGATTCCTCCAAATTGGAAGCAAATTGCTGCATCTTGGGTATTTCCAGCCCTTTGTAGTGGATTAGACTAGGCACCTGGTTCCTCCAACCCGGAGTTCCTGGAGTGGTGGAGAGATGTAGGGTGGTAGGCCTTGACATGTGGCTTCTTCTCTGGGCCAGCACTGGGCTCTCTGGGTCATCCTGGGGTGCTGTCATGCCTTCTTCCTATTAACTCCATTTGTTCACAGGTTTGATTCAGCTCTGATCACTTCTGATTTTCCACCTAGTTGATCTATCTGTGACAACGGAGTATTGAGATCTTCCATTACAACTTGTTATTACATACTTGATTTTCTAAGTCTATTGTAACTGTCTTATGTAGTTGGGTGCTCCTGTATTAGGTGCATATATATTTGTGATTGTTATGGCATTTGTGCTGTTTCTCAGCTTTCTCAAAGTATCTTGTGTTATTCTTTGCTTCATCTTGTAGCTGTTGGGTTGGTTTTTCATGCTGTCTTGCTAGTCTTGAGATCTTTCTTTTTATGATCACTAACTGCAATTCTGTCTTCAAGGTCTTAAATTCTGCCCTTTCCTATGTTGTCTATTGCATATACTTTCAATGGAGGTTTTAATCTTCTGGATCTCTGGATCTATTTCATGGATTCCATTGCTCTCCTATGCGGGGTATTTTTTGTTTCCATTTTTTTTCTAAGCTCATCTATTCTATTTACGTCTTCTCTATTATCTTTGATTTTAAGCATTATTGTTTTTTTGTACCTCAGAGATCATTTTCTCTGTAGCTCTTTCTACTTGTGTTTTCACTTCTGTCATCATCTCAGAAAGTTCCAATGTTTGACTTTCAACTTCATTTATCTCATTGACTTCCAGGCCTGTCTTGGGTTGGCAGGGTTCAGACAAAATCCTGCCTCTGCATCTTGACATTCTTTACCTTCTCTTCTTTAAATGTTGTCTTCTATGTTGGTGCCCACGAACATCCCATGATATATATAGCTCTACCACTAGCATTGAGGCCTCTCTCAAGGAGGAGATGTCTGTTCCTCAGGGATGTCCTCCAGATGTAGTTGGTTCTTTATAGCTATTCCAAGAACCTACTTTCGGGGTCTGGGGATTTAGCTCAGCGGCATAAGCGCCTGCCTTGCAAGCAGGCAGTCGTGAGTTCGATCCCCGGTACTGATAAAAAGGAAAAAGACAAAAAAAAAAAAAAAAAAAAAAAAAAAAAACCACACACTTGAACCTACTTTCTTCTAGTGTTTATGGTTCTGTGATATTGTCCATGTTACGTCCCAGAGATGGCTCTTGGCCTCCAGATGTGGGAGCTGGAACTTGTCTTCAGCCAGTGGCATTCTCCAGAGTCTCACTGCTGTCAGCTTGCTGCTACTTCCGACACTTCTACGTTACTGGCCTTGCTGATGACTTTGCCCTCCAAAGACACGTATGCATCTGTGTGCTGGGCTATTGTCCCGAGTCTTGGGGCTCCCAACAGTTTTACCTTTTTTTTTGCTCTGCCAATGGGCTTGCTCTCCAGAATGCAATGGAGGAAGCTTGGATTAAGAACTCACTGTTTGGGCTGGGGATTTAGCTCAGTGGCATTAAGTGACTGCCTTGCAAGTATGGAGGTCGTGAGTTCAATCCCCAGTACTGATTAAAAAGACAAAAAAAAAAAAAAAAAAAAAAAAAAAAATCAAAGAATTAAAAAAAAAAAAAAAAGCTCAAGAACTGTTTGCCAGCCAGCTCCACCATCTGGGATGTAATGGAGGGGTACAGAGTGTAAATTCTCTTTCTCCTAGCCAGCCCGGATGCAATGGAGGAAGCTTGGATCATGAACTTACTGTCTTTCAGGCAGCCTTGCTGTTCAACAGGATGCAATGGAGGGACATGAGCTCAAAAACTGCCTTCCAGCTGGCTCCACCCCTGTCAAGCAGGTTTTTCTTTCTTTTTTTATAAACTAATAGATGATATAGCAATCTAAATGGACTAAGACAATGCCATTATTTTTACGTCTATTTGAAAAATTTCTTTCCAATTTTCAGTGTTGGACAGTGTTACCATTTTCCTTTGGCAGCACTGCATCTGGTCTCTGCCTTAAAGATTCTTCCAATCCATTTTCCATGAAGCAAATACAGAGACTGCAGTGTCTCCAGAGACACAAATGGTCCCTATCTGCTTAAAACATCACGGCCTCTCACTGCTTTGTAAATGAAATCCAAGCTCTTTAAAAATAGCCCAGAGCATGGAATTCACTATTGTCCCCTTTATTCTCTAAGCATAAAAAAATGCTCCCAGGTTCACACGTAAATACTATTTTTTAGCTTTGCATGTTTGTCCACCTTGTCTGCCTAGAGTAGGAGCTCTTGCAGCCAGCCCATGGCTCATCAGTATCCATACCTGTTTTATGAGTTAGGTTGATATCCGTGGGAAGTTCCCTCAAACCCCCCCCCCCATCCCACACACTCCCTTCAGACTCAGGATGCTTCAAAGAGCACCTGTGCATCGATTTTGGGAAATTATAAGCTATTATTGTACTTTTGAACAATTTCGCCATGATTCACTTTATTGCTTGTAGACCTCCTGCTAAATGTTGCACCTCCTCATTGCCAATTTACTGCAATTTCCACTTACTTTGTGTTGCATTCTCTGATTTTTTCAGGTCTAAGAACTCAATCACCTTTTCAGCTATGTCCAACCTGGTATTCAAATTTAAACCCTCTCCCCACTTTTAAGTTGTTTGGTTCTTTAGAACTCTAGTTGTCCTATTTCTCAGTGTTCCAGTTCTTATGATCTATAGTTTTTTATAAACTCCAAGCTTTTCAGTCATTTTAAGTGTACATATTATGGTAGCTGTCTTTGTCACTGTACTATTATTCCAGATTCTTGAAGGTGCTAAGTTTTCTATTAAGTCCACTGTTATTGTTTCACATATTTCTTATTTGGCATATAATTTTTAGACTTTAGAACAGAACAGTTCTATAGCTGTCTGATGTATTTATCTCCTGCATTTTGTCAGACCGGAACTAATTTACAGTTTTGGGCATGGAAAATTCCTTATCATGTATACCATCTGGAAGCCGTAATGGCATAAAGCATAGGTCTTCAATTTCTTGCAGGCAATTTTGTCTCCTGCCCATAACCTAGGTAAAGCAGCATCCTTGCATCTTCTCCAGGTTTTCAGAGCATGCATAAGAGACGCCACTATTCCACTACCACTGAATGAACAGCTTATCAGTCTTACCTTTATCCTCTGTCTCAGCTCCAGCCTCCTGGTGTTTCTAAGGACCAAGGTGACAACACTTCTCAGTCTGCAGGTTTCCTGATCAAGCTTTATATTCCTCTTAGCTTTTAACTCATCTATGTTTTTAAATCTTTTATTTGGCATTTGTGTCATAAGAGGGTCCATTAACTTAGTATGCTATTATTTGAAAAGCACTTTATAAAGACTTTGTTTTACAGTGCTAATCACTGTGTGACACCAGTTACTTTCAGTAAGTGGCAGAACCCAATATTCAAAATCAGATTTGTCTGATGCCAAAGTCTTACCATTTGGTTAAACAGTACTCCACAAACATACACAAAAAGGATTTTTAAGTTGGCACCAACTAGTAGTAACTAGGAGTTCTACCTTAACTACTTTTTGGCCAGTAGTTAGTTTTTAAAGGCATACATCAGTGTAATTAATATGTACTTCTCATTACCAGCAAGGCTAAACATTTATTCACTGTCATTTCTACTTTCTCCTATTATCCTTCAGAGTAGACTCCACAGGAGCCAGGCCACCTAGGTGCCTACGGCAGAACACAGATTACAGATCAAATCTGCCACAAATCAGGGCCCATTTGGAGAATAAGTAGCTGTTTATTATCCAAGATCAATAAAGGAAGAAGCAAATTTACTAAAATATTTCTTTATTTAAGTAAAGTCAATGTCACTTTTTGAATTCCAGCTAGCATCAAATAACAATCAGAAAAAAACCTGACAAAATATTATCCAATTGAAATTGATAATGGATAGAAAACCTTTTTAAATTTTAAGCAATATCAGAAAAGAAATATATTAAACAGGCAACATATGGATCTGAACAGTTCCAAGAGTTGATTTTTCACTAGATCTTATAAATAAAAAATGCCCAATATAATAATTTGTTGACTATCTCCCTTTAATAAGGACATGGAAAAGATAATCACATCTTAATATTCACAACTGTTACTTATGTTCTTTACAAAGATTATATCTTTGCAAAGCAGCAATCTTTCATTCAAGTAATTTCTGTTTTCCCCAAGTTATCAAAAAGTACAGTTGTCTGAGACAAAATATCACCACAATCGCAATCAGAAAGCAAAGCGTGTCAGCAGGCAGGCTTCACGGTAGGAGTTCTCAGTGCCTGACCGCGATCTGAAGATGATTTTGTTAGGCTTAAAAGCTAACAAAAGCACTAAGAGCTACAAGTAGGAACCTGGATTTAGTTAGTAGTTGCTAAGGAATCAAGAGTTCTAGTAAGAGGAACACTAATTAGATTGTGAGTATAAAAGAATCAGTGCACATCTGCTAATTTCATTGATAATAAAAATACTAAATTATGTTCTCAGCCAGCTTTAAACCAACAAAACTTGTGGTTTTGTTTGGTTTGGTTTTTCCTTTTCATCCCCCACCTTGGTGGTTCTCAGTCACTAGTGTGCTCTGAATCACTGGCAATGCCTGTTGCACACTGATACCCTGAAGCCCCGCCGTAGTGTTGATGCAGGTGGCTTGCACTGGGGCTCTGGTCTCTGTTCTCAACAAGCACTGCATGATCCAGACAGTCCACAGATCATGTTATGAGAAACACTGATATGTCTCTAGTACATAACAAACACGTTGGTATTCTCTGTTACTTCATAGTAAAGTATCGAGCTGATAAAATATTTAAATAATTAGAATACAAATAGGTACACAGTATTAGTCATTATGTAATTACATTTTCTTTTTAAAAGTGGTACTATAAACACAATGACTTACATTACAAATTTAAAATAAATTTTGTTTTAGTCCAAGGCACCTGTAAAATACTTGCTGGTGTGACAGAAGTGAGTAAATCCAGTAATACAAGAATAGAGAAATGAAAGAAGTCCGGCAGTGACTGGTTTTTCCACTGAAACAAGCTACTCAGTGATTTTGAGGAAAACCACCAAACTTCAACTAAGATAAACATTCTAAATAAACTATTTTACTTACTGAGTGATTTTTAAGCAAAATAAATTCATTAGTTAAAAAAAGAAAAAGATTCATGCTTATGATCTTTCATAACAGCCATCTCCGCTTGTCCTAGGAATGATCAGAGTACCTCGCCTTGCACTTTAGCCTGAAAAATGTACACTGCACAGATCTGGTATTCCTTTAATGTTCAGCCACATGTGATCATGGACTTTATAATACTGGATTTGGCAGCCTTTTATTTCAAGAGGATTTCCCAAGTTTCATAGTCTACAACTTAAACTTTCTTCTGAAGGTATTAATATTTTTCATGGAATATGAGTAAATTCTGAGATGATGACGTTTCTGAAACATGAATTTCAAAATGTTAACACTACAAAGAAGAAGTGTAAAAGCATTTTTTACACTGAAGAAACTGAAGTAAAGTGACTCATTAGCATATTCTCTCTGAGTTGCAGGGTAGAAGCTAACACAAAAAGCAACACGCAATTGCACACACAATAACAGCTAGTATTGCTATAATGCAGAGTTCTTCATTAAATTTTTATACAGTTTAGATTGTTAGCCCAATTTGTAAATGACATTTGAGAGCAAAATTAGGACTGCTTGGAAATATTCAACAGTACTATTTTTTAAAACAGTATTGTTCTGGATCGTATGACAAATGAAAGACAGGTCGGGAAATGTAAGTCTTTAGGAGCTGTGAGAATAAAATTAAATTTGTATTTTAAAATATCATTTACAGATGGTTTCTCTAATACCTAGAACTATGTACAAAGACTATATAAAATTTCCTTCCCACTCTTACCATTTCATGGTTAAGTGTACTAACAAGTGCTTCACAGCATTCGCAGTTCCAATATTAAAATGAAGAAATCAGAAGTATATACTCTATTTTTCAAAATTTCCCTTCAGAAATCTTAAATCTACTATCTAAACAAGCCCCTTGACTTAAAAGAGACAACATCTAGTTAAAAACCCTGGGTTACATGGAGTAATACAAATCAGAATGTAGTAAGCCGGTTTTGTGAATTTAAAATATCTTCAGGACATGCAATCTGAGCTGAATTATAGGTTGGACAAAGTGGGAGAAATAAAGTCCCTAAATTAAAAATACTAATATAAAAGTTACTTTTATAATATTAGATACCAAACTGAAATGAAGACAAAAATATGGGCCACCAAGAAATAAATATATTCCCAGGCAAAATACTCAATTTTTTAGGCAAAAAGCAGTTCGTAATTTTCCCTCCAAAATTTTTTTCAAAAGAAAAATATAGCATTGGTAATCAGAAAGAAAAGCATTCATTAAATATTCTGAAGCCTATTATTTACATCCTAAAGCTCTCAGACAAAATATTTTTTGATTCCAGAGGGAGATGTGTTAAGATTAAAGGACTGCAGGATTAGTCTTATGTTAGAAAATTTTGACCCCTAAAAAGACTTTGTTTATAAAATACACATGACAGGGAACTCTTAGTTTGACCTCATATACTGGGAAGCACAAAGGCAAATGTGTTTATGCTAAATAATGAAATCTCCAATATTGGAACTTAGGGTAACACTCATATCTAGGGGATGTCCCTTGTTTTTTATTATTTAAGCTCTTAGTTGTCATCAATATTCTGTTCAGTGGTTATAATCTATAGACTGAAATTTAAACAGGTTCTATCAACAAATTTACATGTAGTTTATTTTAATGTTTATTCTTACTGCAAATCAATGTTTCAATGGTTTTTATACAAAACAATAATTTAGACTATGAAGCAATTTAAACATTTAAATTCCTTCAAAAAGACATTTTGTACATACATACATGATTGACACCTATGAAAATGGTGGTCAAAAGAATTTTTTGGCAGCTGCTTCCTGTTGAGTCCTAAAAAAAGACAGAAAAATTGAAAGACGTTCTATATACTTAGCTTTGTCAAAAAAACAAAAAACAAAACCCAGGATTGCTTAACATTAAAATATCAAAACCTTTTGAAGCACAAAATACATTAAGGTAAGCATATATTCTACAGATGAATTCCCAATATGAACTAAAATAGATTATAAACTTAATTTCATAGGTATTAAAAATTCTATTATGGTCATATATTACTGGACAGAACATTTCAAACTGAATAAAAAAAGATATTATGACAAATTTTATCAAAAGACTTACCTATACATGATATAACCAATGAATAACACTGTTTGTATTACTACAAATATAACAAAGTGTATTGTAGATAAACATGATGGAAACGGTGGTAGTTCTGGGCATTTTGATTTTTCATTGGATGGCTATAAGGCAAAAGAACACGCTATTACAATCATTCAAATCAGTAGTTTGGAAAAAAGATCTATATGTGAAACTTTATAAAACTCATGGCTTATTATACAAGCAAGTATTTTCATTTACATTCTCCAAAATATTTTCTATCCTTTATCTTTTACATTTTGTTTTTTAACTTTAAAAAATGCTTTTTTAAAAAAGTATTTGATATAGGAAGGCTCTCACTTTGTCCTTGAAGGTTCTAGAGTTTAGGATCACCACAGATCAGAAGTTCTCTGCACATTTTCAGTTCATATTTGCTGTACTAGTATATTATCTGTATTCCTTAGTGCTAAAAGTATTTCAGGTAAGACAGTAAATTAGACAGTTACCTTGCAGTGAATTATTTGATAAAATATGATGGCTTTTTCTCAGCCTCTATGATAGAGGCTGAGAAATCCCACAGCATTCAACATTATGACTTCGTGTTTTCAAAAATGCTTCTCTTCCTATTTCCTAAGTATTCCTTCTATTTTAAGGAGCTGACCTCGTGTTTGCCAAGCAGCCACTTATGGCACTGAGCTAAATCCCCAGCCCAGATTAGTTGTTTTTAATATGGTTACATCTATTTGGGTAAAGTTCTTTAATACATATATATTTGCCATAGCACCAAGTTGGCTACTGAAACAGCCCACTTGGCAAGGTTGGAGAAAAATAACCTCAAACAAAGATGAAATAATAATGTTTGAGAAATTGGGCATGGTGGTACACACCTGTATTCCCAGCACTCGGGAGGATTGCCATGAGTCTGAGGCCAGTCTGGTTTACATAAGTGAGTTCGAGGCCAGCCTGAACTATATAGTGAGACTGTCTCAAAAGGACACACATAGGTATTACACACACACACACACACACACACACACACACACACACACACACAGCTTTATAGATGTCATGGTAAGAAAACTATTAAGTCATCCATATTTGCAAAAAATCTTGTATGTTTAAATCATATACACGGAAATATAGTTTTAAAAAGCAGTGTACAACATATTCATAGCCTAAAGAACACCACAAAGAGAAAACTACTCTCTAAAAATGACAGGACTATAAGACATTTATCCTAACTGATCTTCAAACTTCAACACACAAATACAATAGTGAGAAAACAAGGCAACAAAATGCCACCAAAAACTCTAACTTCCCCTAAACTGATCCCACAGATATTTAAGTGGACAAAATTTCAAAGAATAAAAGAATGATAGTTAGACAATCTATGAGATCAAAGAAGATACAAATAAATAACTGGATAAGTTAGTAAAATGTTCAATGGGCTTAAAGAAGATACAAATAAACTGCTGAATAAATTAAGGAAGACAATATGTAATATGAAAGACCACTTTGATAAAAAAAAATGGGTTCTGAAAAACAACCAGACATCCTAAAAATAAACCCTCAAGAGTCAAAAACCCAACTAAAAGTCTCAGGAGTATGTAAAATGAATCAGAAGAGCATCAAGGTTTGGAGACAAGGTGGACATACTAGAACATTCGAAAAAAAGAATGAGAAACAACCAAAAGATCTGTGAGCTTAATGACAATTCTAAATGTACAGATTTTACAATTCTAAATGTACTGGCCTTGAGAAGTGTGTGAAAGTTCTGACAAATGGCACAGAAAACCTATTCACTGAAACTATAGCAATACAATCTCTCAAACCTAGGCAATGAGATGGATACCCAACAATGGAGATATTCATAATTCCCAAATAGTTATGACTCAAGAAGAACATCTCTATTCATATCTGCCAAAAATTCAGAACAGAAAAATATTAAAAGCTGTTAGAACTGCAAAAATCACTTATAGTGTCAAACTCATCAGAAAAACAACAGATTTTTAAACAAAAACCCTAAAGGCTGGAGGTCTTGGAATGATACAGTTTGAACCCTGCAAGAAAATATCTGTAAATCTGTGAGACTAACCTTCAAAATCAAAGGATAAATAAAGACCTCCTAAGGTAAGGATAAACTACAAAAGTTTATGACTACTTAAGCAGACTGCACAAAATACTTAAGACAATTCTAAACAGAGGAAGAGGACAACTAAACCATAAGTTCAAGAAAAAGAATAAATCTCAATGGGAGAATATACAAACAAATGAAAATCAGGAATGAATCAAACACTACAACAAAAACAATGTGACTAGGATGAATTCCTACCATTCAATAATAACACAATGTAAATAGTCTTGATTCTCCAATAAAAAGATACAACTGGGTCAAAAAACATGACTGAACCCTACGATGCTTCTAAGAAACACTTCACCTGCATGTATGTACATTCTGAGAGTGAAAAGATGGAAAACGATACTCCAAGCAACTGAAGCCCAAAAGTAAACAACAGTTTCTTACTTATATCCAACAAAGTAGATTTCAAATTGAAATCACTAAAGAGAGATAAATCACTACGTATTGGTGTAGAGAATAATTCACCAAGAAGAGCTAACAATTATAAATATTTATGTACTGAACATCACTGCATCCTATTTCATACACACTACTGACATTATGGGTCAGAAAGATCCCAACACAATCATAGTGAACGAGTTCAACACACCCCTTTGAGAATCAGGTCAACCAGACACCTGCCCCCACAAATAATCAATAAAGAAATAATGAAGTTAAATTACATTACAGACCAAGTGGACCAAACACTTCTACAGAGTATTTGACTCAACAAGAATAGAATATATAGTTTTTTCAGCAGCCCATGGAACTTCTTCCAAAACAGGCCATATATTAGGCCATAAAAGTTTAAAAAAAAACCCTGAAGTAATCTCATGCATCTATCAGATCACAATGAACAGAAAGTAGAAATAAATAGCAGAAGAGAAACTATAAATACTATACAAACCCACGGAGATTGGATAATGATTTGTTGAATGATAATGGGCCTCCAAAGATATTGAGGAAGAAATTTTAAAATTCCTAGAATCAAGTGACAATAGACTTCCATGAATGAATAAAAATTTTTTTTAAAATTTAAAAAGACAGAAATACAATATAACAGAATCTGTGCAACATAAAGCAGCCTTAAGAGGAACATGTAGAGCTGTGAGTACCTAGATCAGAAAAAAGAGCAATTCCAAATAGCCTAATGCTGCATCTTAAGGGCCTAGAAAAATAAGAACAAATCAAATCCAAGTAGCATAGAAGGAAGAAATAATAAAGATCCCAACAAATGAGAAAATAAATCAGAAACAAATGAAACAGAAACTAAAGACAATTAAAAGGATCAGTGGTTCTTTGAAAAAATAAGATTGATAAACCCTTAAAACCCAAAAAGTGAGAGAAGACTCAAATTAATAAAATTATAAAGGTGAGATCATAACAAAATTTTTATCAATAAATTGGAGAATCTAAACGAAATTAATAAGTTATTAAACACATATGTCCTAAAATTGAATGGAGACATAAAAAGTCTAAACAAATCAATAAGAAAGAAGATTGAAACAATAAAACCTTTCCAAATGACAGATTCACTATACAATCTTATCAGACTTAAAAAAAAAAAATTAATGCTAATGTTTCTGAAACTTTTCCACGAAATAGAAAGGTAAGGAATGCTTCCAAATACTTCTATGAAGTGGATTACCCTGATAGCAAAATCAGTAAAAAAAAAAAAAAAAAACTATAGACCAATACCCTTGAAGAATGTGATGGATTCAATAAGATTCTTGCAAATACAATTCAACAACACATTAAAAAGATCATAAACTTTGACCAAGTTGGTTTTATCCAATGTACTGATCATGTGAAAAAAAAAAAAGCCACATAAATAAAACTAAGGATAAAAACCCATGATCATCTCAATAGATGCGGAAAAGTACTTCAACAAAATTCAACACTTATGTTAAAAATCCTGAAGAAAATACTTACAGATGGATCTTTTCTCCAATTGATAAAAGCTGTATGTGCATAGCAGACCTACAACTAACATCATACTATTGATAAGGAATCATTGAAAGCATTCCTTTAAAATGAGGAATGAGGCAATGGTGTCCCCTCTTAGCACTCCTGTTCAATATAGTAGTTCAAGCTTTATAGGAATTAGGCAAGAAAAAGAAAGAAAAGGGATACAAACAGGAAAAGAAGTCAAATTATCCTTATTTGCAAGCAATGTAATTCTTTCTATAGAAGGCTTTGAAAATTTCACCCAGAAGATTCTTTGATCCAATAAATTCAGCAAAGTGAAAGGATATACAAACCAACAAAAATTAGTAGTTTTCCTACATACCAATGATAAATCTACTGAGAAAGAAATCAGGAAAACAATTCCATTTACAATAGCTCCCACTCACAATTTAAAGAAGGAAAGTCTTTTTGGCTCATGTTTTAGTCCACAATCAACTGGCTGCAAGCCAACATGGCGTGGCAGAGGTACATGGTGGAGGATATCTGAGGGAGCTGCTGAGAATGGCAGTGGGGAAGCAGTGAGCCATCAGGGAAGGAGCCAGGGTGGGAGATAAACCCTTCCAGGCCCAAACATCAGGGACCCACCTTTTCTGATCAGAGGCCACCTCTTCAAAGCAAATCAGCTATAGATTATGCTAATCCAATCACCTTCTAAATGTCTCTCCTATGGGCCTATGAACGCATGAGGCTTTTGGCAGACAACTAGAGAAAAACCAAAACACTAAGCATCAACCTAACCAAGAAGGTGAAAGATATCTACAATGAAAATTGCAGAATACTGAATAAAGAAACTGAAGAAGACGTGAAAATGGAAAGACAGGGGCTGGAGGTTTAGCTCAGCGGCATAAGCACCTGCCTTGCAAGCAGGCAGTCGTGAGTTCGATCCCCGGTACCGATAAAAATGAAAAAGACAAAAAAAAAAAAAAAAAAAAAAAAAGAAAATGGAAAGACTTGCTCATGAATTGGCAGGACTAGTATTGTCAAAATGGCCATATTACAAAAGTGACCTACAGACTCAATGCAATCCCTAGTACAATATACTAAGAACATTCTGTCAGAACTAGGAAAAATCCTAAAATTTTTATGAAAGTACAAAAGACCTAGAATAGCCAAAACAATCCTGAGTAAAAGCAGCAAAGCTAAAGGTGTCATATTACCTCATTTAAAATCATACCAGAAATTCACAGTAACAAAAACAACATAGTATTGCCATAAAAATAGACATATAGACCAACGGAATAGAAGTAAGAAACAAAAACAAATCCATGCAACTATAGTCATCTAATTTTTGACAAAGGGGACAGAAACATATACTAGAGAAAAGATACTGGCTTCAACAAATGGTGCTGGGAAAACTAGATTTCCACATGCAAAAGATTGAAACTAGATCCTTATTTCTTACCCTGTACTAAATATGATCAAAATGAACCAGAGACCTCAGTATAAAACTGGAAAACATTATAGAACTCAGTATAGAACTGGAGACCATTATGCTAAACAAAACAAGCCGATCACAGTGTCACATGCTTTTTCTTAACTAAGAAATCTAAAAATAGGGGCTGGGGATTTAGCTCAGCGGCATAAGCGCCCGCCTTTCAAGCAGGCAGTTGTGAGTTCAATCCCTGGTACCGATAAAAAGGAAAAAAGACAAAAAAAAAAAAAAAAAGGAAAAGAAATCTAAAAATAAATACAGCAAGAAAGAAGAGAGGACAGAAAAGTTAAAGGCAACCTGTTAGAAGATCAGGGTGAAGGAGGAAGAAAAGAGGGTTGTAATGAAGACAGAAATAATCAAAATGCTACACTCATATACCATGGTACCATCATGAATATCATTATTCCATACTATCAATATGCAACAATAATAAAATAAGAAGTAAAAAGATCTGGGGGTATAATTGAGTGGTAGAGCATCCATGTATTTAAGCTCCAATATTTCAATTAATAAATAAATGGCATTATCCAAAAATATTAAGGATACAAAATTAGGAGTTGATGAGCTAAATTTTTCTCCCTACCACTTACTAGCTAATGACCTTAGGAAAGTCAATTTATTATTAATATTAATTTAACATATTTTCTAAAGAATATCAAAGGCTTTTAAAAAATAAAGCCTCATATCAAATATAAATGATTGTCAAATAAATCTTACACAAGACAATTAGCATACCAAAAGAAAATTCCGGTCCAACTCAATCTAAACTAACTCAAGCCAAGCATATAAAACCTGACTGATGGTAGTAAAGCTAACAAGACAGCAAAAAATTATCAGATCAGAACCTTGGAGAAAAATATGCAAATGAAATACACTTCAGAAAACATGAATCAGAGAAGAGATTAAAAGGGGAATCAGAATTTTTTTTCACTGAATGATAATATAAATCCTCCATACAAAACTCCTACATCATGCTTCTTTGTTTCTTAAGGGTTAACTGCCATGGGAACTGCTATTCTACTTTAAACAACTAGGAAACAAAAACATATAGATACCTGGAATATACGGAACAATTCTATTATTGAACATTAAAATGAGCATTAGCATTTATTAAAATATTCAAATTATTTACAGTACTGCACAATAATGTCAAATATGAGTTCTTTTTCTAATGCCATGATAATTAGAAAAGGTGAAGAAAATGAAGTTACCATATTCCGCTGCACTAAGTTATCTATGTCCCTCTTCACTATGTGCAGGTGCTCCTTGATGTCCATGAAGTGCTGTGTTGTTTCATATGCGCCTCCTGCAGAGCTTGGGTGCTGTAACCCACTCACCAGTCTGACAGTTTCACTCATGGAATTCCTGAAACAAAATTTCTTTATACAATATCACTATAAAAATGATTTTTATCAGCCACATATTTCAAATAATTATACCATTCTCTGCCTAACACATTAGATCATTAAAAAAGTAAAGAACTATTTAAATATTACATTTTCTTCAAAACCAAAAAATAATTTGTAAGACTAAAATTTAACATTATACTTTTATTTTTTATCGAAGATCAACAGCACGAGCGCTTGCTTGGCAAGCACAAAGTTGTGAGCTTGATTCCTGGTACCAAAAAGCAAAACAAAACAAAACAAAACAAACAAAAGGTCACCTAAAAATAACCACATAGACATTACTACTAAAATACTGTTATATGTATTAAAACCAACAGTGTAAATACATATTGAATAACATAATCAATGGTACTCTTTTTTTTAATCAATGGCACTCTTAATGAAGTTATTAAAAGTCTTTTCAGGTGTTCAATATTACGTGGTAAAGGATTAACTCAGCAGACCTGGGTTGGTGAAACTCTGTGGATTCCAAAGGTTTTTAGAACTGGCCCTTGACTACAGTTTAGGCAAACACTGTGATTTATTAGTATTTCTGGTTCTGTTTGCCTGAGGCCTTTGGGAGACTGACTTCCTGGGACTGTAGACTGAGTACTTAAGGTCATCCTCATGGACGCTATTTGATGACTCTAGACACCAAGGCTTGGGTGAGTTTCCCTGGCTCATGGCATTCTGCACATTCTGTAACACATTGTTGAGAATGAAATACAGATGATCCTTGACTTACAGCTTAGCTGCACAGTATGCTATAGTGTATTGGTTGTTTACTCTCTTGACTGCCTGGGTGACTGGAATCTGTGGTTGGATGACATTGCCCTGCAGCGTGAGACATCATCATACATATTGTTGGTCCAGGAAAACAATGAAACTTAAAATCAGATGTATGGTTTCTACTGAATGTATATCAGTACCATCTATGAGATCAGTGGGAGAAGACAACCGGAAGCTTGCTCCTGGTTTTTCCTGGACTCCACTTATGTACCATTTTCTTTGCTGACTTTGTATCTTTTTGTCTTAATGAATCATAACCATAAGATAACAACTTTTCTAAGTTCTGTGCATACTCCTGGAAAATCATAGAATCTAAGACATCTTAGAGGGCTACAAACACAAATACAATTATGTTTGCTTTTCTCTGCAATTCTCAGATGGACCGTGTGTACAGATCTAGTATTTCAACTGGAAGCCAACCAAAGAAGTATGTATTTGTTCCACATACTTTATGAAGTAAAAACTGGCTGTTTAGTTTATTGATGTACGGAGGATAGTTGCTAATGTGATACCTTTTTGAAGGGTAATTCCGATTCCATACAGCATTTCATCTTACATACTGACTCTAGAATAGTCTCCATGCAAAATGTAATGCTACTCTTCAGATATAAAATAAAGAGCTCTATTATTGAATGTGACCTTTAAATATGAGTCTATAAGCACAATTACAAATGTAAAAAAATTACATTTCTTTAATAAAGGTAGAAAATGAGAGGCCTATTAATAAAGGAACATGAATTTCAATTTTTACCTAGAAGTACTGAATAAGCTCTATTAATGGCAAATTATTCATTTGTACTCTGAATTATCTTCAAGTCTGGGGATTTTTTATGAGGCAATAAAATAAGATTGGACTGGCAAGAGGTACATCACTGCTGAAAAGCTAATGGGTATGCAGTTTCACTGTACTATTTCTTCTATTTCTTTCTTCTTTTTTTTTTTTTTTGGTACCAGGGATCAAACTCATGACCTTGTACCTGCCAGGCAGGTGCTTATACCACTGAGCTAAATCCCTGGACCCTTCTTCTATTTCTTTGTTTGAAAACAGGCATAAAAAGTCTTAAAATCTGTAAGGTTCTCCATAATTTGTCAGCAGTTTACCTTTCTGATACAATACTCTCATCCATGCCAGTTCCTAATAATATTCTTTACCTTAGCCTCTGGCTTTGTGATGTTCTTTCTAGTCATTCCTTTCCCCATATCTGTGATCTAGAGTAAAGCTCAGTTTAAATGCTACCTTTCCTTTCTTGTTTCCTTTCTTGGATCCTTTTCTGCTAAAGGTAATCACTACTGACAAAGATTAGCATCAACTCTTTGTTCATCTCTTTGATTACCTAACCAAATGCCTTCAATAACTATAGTTCAATTTCAATGAATAGAAAGCTATCTCACTTATCTCCTAGGAGTGAAATTTAAAAAGAGTTTCATTGGAAGGAAAAGGACTCAAATCTTAAGAGTTAATTTAAAAAATACAATTATGTCAGACTGAATATTACGCTTAAGTGTTTTTTTGTTTGTTTGTTTTTGAGACAGGGTCACCCCATGTAGTGCAGGCTGGCCTTAAACTTGCAGCTCTCCTCCTGCCTTAGCTTCCTGAGGCTGGGATTACAGGCATTACAGATGTGCACCACTACACCCAATGTCTGGCAAGTTTAAATTTTAACGAATTATATTTGATTTATATGAACAAAGAAGCCTATTCACATAAATCTTAATTGCCTTTTGAATCAACTCCTATCTTGATTAAAATTTCTTTCAGTGACACATGTGCTCCAGAAAACACGTTGGGGACCATGAATTGTAAACTGACAAAGTTATGTGTCCTAGGCTCTCCTTGTCCTATCCTTTTGGGCCAGCTGGGAAGGTGAAAACATCCTGTTCTTTTCTGGTCACAGCTGGAAGCCCAGGGCTAATGACTTGTGGAGCTCACAAGGCAAGATAAGACCTGCTAAAGAAGATAAGGTACCTGGGTAAACTTGTTCTGGTCCTTGTCTTTGTAAGAATGTCTTGATCTTCCTAGCCCACCCTAGTCTAGTTGCCCGTAACTATTCTTGGAAACTACCCTCTGCCCTTCACCATTGTCCTCGACTCAGATGTAATGAATAAATACCAAGGATCACTGGGTGCCTTGTGGCCTTTTGTTCCTAGAGAGCATAAAGAGCACCTGGTGGTCCCAGATCCTTGCTATATACTCCTCTACTTTGTCTCTTGCTCTTTCTCTCCTTTCCCACAGTGTGATGTAACGCAGGGAGGAGACTGGAACCCTTTGCAAGGGTCTCCAATAACTGGCACTGTTGGGAAAGATTACTAATAAAAATGCAGTGGAAGACTTGCCTAAGCTTTTTTCTAAAATGCCAATTCAGGATTACACCTTGTCATGGTTTATGTCAGTGTCCCCCAGGCCTCATGAGTTTGAATTGTGCATTTGTTATTCGTTCTTTGTCTGGTGCTTGGATTGATGGCGTCAGTGCTCCACCCACAAAGGGGTGGAGCCAGGATGTGATGTAATGGCAGGAAGAAGGTGTGTCTTGCTCTTTGCTGGTTCCTGCTTGCTGTTTGCAGCTGCGTGAACTGTGGTACAACCATGTCTGCCTGCCTGGGAGCCAGCTGAAGTGTGGACTGAAAACTCCAAAAACTGTAAGAAATAAACCTTTCCTTTCCCAACTTGGGCATCAGGTATTTTGTCTCAGCGATGAACATAAAGTAACTAAGACACACCTTATTACATAGTACCTAAAATACTTAGCAAGGCTAAAACCTCCCAGCTAAAAATAATTGTTTCGCATATCTGAATATAAGAATTTGCCTCCCAGAAGCATGAACCAGATAAAAATGTCTCTTGTAATATACAAAGACTGAATCTCTTACTGGGCCTATGAGGGTGGAATTATGATAGAAAGAGACATATTTAGTTTAGGGAAAAGATCAAATGAAAACAAGGGCTGAACAGAGCCTTAAATAAAATGACTATTTAAAGGATAACAGAAGAAAGAGCAGCAAGTGAACAATACTAACAAAGCAGAGGCCAAAGAACATTAAGCATGAATGGTATGTATGCTATACATCTTGAAAGGAATGAGGTGGGATTATTATCAGCTGAGACAGGGCTCTATAGTATTAGCTTATGGAAACGTGACATTCTGGCTTGTTTTCTCTTCTCAGGTACTGAGACATGTCAATCATTTGCAGATGATTTAACACCATTGGTAATGTTCTAATTTTGTCTTATTAGAAATTTATCATTCAGCATTCCAAGGAAACAATGCCTTCTCCAACTTTTTAAAAAGTTAGTCTCAGGATACAAGATGGGAATGAAAAAGAGGTCATCAAAATATTTCCTTCAAAATGGTTTCATATCATCAAAAAGAATGTTCGGCATCAAATCCACTTATATTACTATTCTAGAAGGCAAATCATGCTCATTTTTCTATTATCTCTCACAAGTGTTTTATATTATTTCATATTCTTTCGAATTTTCTAAATATGTCTGGCTCAGTCAATTAACTGTGGCGAACCTACATTTTTTTCACAAGATGTTAAAGCATTTTCTTTTCCAGTTTAAAACAAATAAAAATTATATTTACAGTTTCTAAACATAAGCTCCTGTACATTTATTCCCCTATTTATAAAATGGACCCAGAACACGTTTCCTACTCTAGAACATGAATCTTACCATGAAGGACTCTTACCATACTAAGTACATGCACACCTTTATGATAAAGATGTCACACAACGCCCACACTTCCCTCTACTTACTTCACTTCATTTACTTGTCTCAGAATCTCATGCTGAGTTTTCACAACAGTATCTACTTCCTGCTGAGTGATCTGGAGGAAAGATAAACAGCCAGCTTAATAATCTCCATTCTATGGAACTACAGAACACAGCAGCATTTGTTCTCTCCTCCATTAAAGGCTAAATAGGCCATATCTTCATATTTTGAAAGCTCACCTGCCCAGGCTGCCCTGGAACCCCTGCTCCTCTTTTAGAGATCTCCTCTGTCAAGGAAGAGACGTATCTTCTCTGTTCATCAAGAATCATATCCAACTGTCGGTTCAACTGCTTGATTTCAAGATGAATACGATTCTGTCCTTCAAAGATCTGCCTTAGCTCACGATCGCCTACAGTCTCAAATATCTCATCAGCTGAAAATTAATTAAAAATTGAAATTATTAGTATCACCTACACTTATGTGGTTTTTGAAATATCATAACTGACCCAAGTGCCAACATATACCAAAATTAGAACATTACCAATGGTGGTACAGTCTCCCAAATAGTAAATGTGCAGGTAATTAATCCAATCATGACTAAATCATTACTGGTTTTGCCATCTTTAATGGATGAACACTTATAAATTAATGTATCTAAAAATATATGAACAATTCTAAATGAATTGTTTCACTTAAAAATAATTTTTTTCTTTCATGTATACTATGTGATTTTATATGACCAAGCAAAACTAATTAGGGTAATGAAAATTAAAATAGTGATGAGCTCTATGGTGAAGGGCTTTGACTTGGAGGAGGCACAAGGAACTTTCTGGGTGATGAAAATATCCCATGCATTGCCCTTGGGTGAAGCTTAAGTGGTTGTCCATATTTGTTAAAACTGACCAACCATACTCTTCACATACTGCAACAGTTTCAGGATATATTCATAAATCATACATCATGATATTTATGACAAATTCAAGAAAAGAAATTTATGTCTCATTTCTACTTTTTTAAACTGGGTCATACTGCTGATCAACGCAAAAACTCCATACCACAGTATTCAAATACTAGGAACAGGCTAGCTAGCACAGCCTGATCATTTATGTTGATGTAAACAACCCAAATAATAAAAAAACCTGCAGATAAAACATCACTCTACTTGATCTTAACATGTTGTATTTTTAATTTTTTAATGCTTGAAATCTTATAGAGGCTTAGTCTAATATTTTTAAATTTTTAACTGTTAGAGTACAGGATTCTGTTAGTAGCAAGAGGAGACAACTTCACATTATTCATAATAGTTTCGATAGTTATCAAGTATCTCTATATTACTAAGAAAAATGTGTCAAGGACATAAACCTTGTATGGTTTATGTCCTCAGCAATACTAACCCTCAACTACCAAGGCAACACTGTTCTGGCTTTTTTTCAAGTTTAGAGAATACAGAAAACAAAGTCCATGATCTTCACTATTTACCCATATAACCACAATATTCTTTACTCGTACGTCACTAAGTAAGGCACACTCTTACTTTTAAGGGCTTCAGATCCTTAGGGATTAAACACTTGTTAGTTGTTTCCAGAAACTATTTAGAACGTGCTAGTTAATAAACAAAGAGATGACACAGATAACACAAAGACACCAGAATTCAATATACAACTGCTGCTGTGATACATTATGTGATACATGCCAGCTACATTACAACTTACTGGGCTGTCCTTGGAGGTCAGGATGGTCCTTCTGGAATTCCTCTTTTTTTTTGTCCAATTCTTGCTGATAGTGTTCAAATTCTTCCTGATACTTTTCCTTTTCTTTTTCTGAAATTTCTTTATCTGGTGTAGGCTTTTTTGAAGTTTAAGAATAGATCAGGAAAAAAGAGAATCAGTAAGGCAGCTCAACATATGTTTTTTCCTTTTTTCTTCACTAGCTGAATGGTTAACATTTCTTGCTGATCTGGGTGATGGTGAATAAATCATAGCCAGTTTACACTTGCTCCTAATAGTAGCAACAATAATAATAACTATTATCATTTATGAAGTATTTGCTGTAAGTGCACTGTCTCCATTTAATCCTCTTAGCATCAGTGCAGTATCCAGGAGTAACATCTGTTTCATCAATGAAGAAATGGCACATTAGATGTTCAGTAATTTGTACAAGATCATACAATAGTAATGAGCAAAAATAAGATCCAAACTAGATCAGTCTGCCTAAGTTTTCACTTATAAGCAACAACACTGAAAATAAACTTTTTAGAAAAAAAAAATGTGTACTTACTGGCTCTTTTCCAGGCTCAGTCAATTGGAAAGTCAGAAAAGAAAGAACATCATGGTCATCTAAAAATTAAAACATAAGTCTGAAAAGGTCCTATATTAGATTGTTTTGATAGCTGTGAGTTTATAGATATTTACTGCTCTAAAACTATAATAAAAACTGGCTCTAATTTGTTAAATAAACAGTGGAACTCCATGAATTTAGAGACAAAAACAGATCTGAAAAGATTTACATTTTAATTTCTATTTATTTTCTTAAATCCTAACTCAAAACATTTAGCAGCATTTAATGTATAACAGTTTAATAAATGTCTGATAAAGACGAAAAACCAGAGGGTCAAAATGAGTCCAAATGCCCAGTCCTGGTATCAGGATCCTGCCATACTTCCCCCAAGTCTCCCTCATGGATAACGTCCTATCAAGTGAAACAAAATCCTGTTCATGTATTTCCTGTACCTGTCTCTCTCTGAAACTTCCTCTTGGCACATTACTACTTTTGCCTTTCCTATTAGTTTTTCTCACCTGGAATAAAACTACTATGTCTTTTGTCTAAACATCATAAAAATATCAAATTAATTTCAAGCTGTTTAGGCAGATCCTCATAACAATGAACTAAAATACCAGTCCTGGCTAGTCTTATCCAAAGAGTAAGAGTAATTAAAGTGTGCAGCAATCTTCAAGCTTTGCGTCACTCTCACAGAGATCCAGAGAAACAGACAGATTAAACAAAAAATGATGATACTGCAGGGTAGACTGAGTAACTTGAGGAGAAATCATGTGGTGTAAAAGGGTAGGAATCAGAAATCTAGACCAAAGCCTCTCTGGGGCCGAACATTACTCATCATGTGATCTTTCAAAACTTCTCTCATCCAAGATTTAGCAAACTCATCTAAAAATAGGGAAATATGATCTCTCTTCCCTCAATTCCTGGGTTGTATAGAACATATATTCCAAAGTATTTAAAACTGTAATGTACCATATAAATACAAAATCATATTAATGTGGGACGACTTCATTTGTCACTATATGTGAAAAAAATAGTAACCCTGTGTTTGTTCAAAATTAGATCCTTAATAAAAAAAAAAAAAAAAATTAGATCCTTAAAAAACATTTCTCAGGTTGCAAAATGCATTTACATGTGATGTGACAACTCATGCGGTCCTAAAAACACTTGACAACAAACCAAACACTCAACTTTAAAACAGCATCAAACACTCTCCTATAAAACAGCATCAAAACTGAGGTTGTATGTGGCCCCAGCTATGTACCTACAGAACAGTATAAGCAGAGAATTAGCAGTCTCAACAGAGCAAGAGACTGGCACAGCAGACTATGGAATCTTTGTTCCAAATACTCTTAAAAGGTTAAATGTAAACAGATCCCCAAAATATAAGATTACCAATAAAACTCAACTGATAAACTTCCAATATGACACCACAGAACAATTTACCTGCAAGACCTCCCGTTGCAGCAGATATTCCAAAATGTCCTTGTGTGGGGATAATCATATTTTCTACTTTAGCACAAAATTCATAATCATTTTTATCAGGCGTAAAGCCATTATTGATCATTACCTAAAAAAGACACACTACAGTTATAGCTTTTGCAATGGACACTATAAAATTAATTTCAGTTACTCAGTTTTATAACCAATAATATTCTAATTTGCTTTTTTCACTACAGTGATTTAGTATCATTACTCAATAAAATATTTAACTTGAAATTTTTTTGCCTACTATGTGTCAAAGACTGAAGAGAAAAATTCAATAATTTTCCATAAAAATCTTTCCAAAATCAAATATAGCTTATCCTCTCTTGGAGAAATTTAGAGAACTATGATTATCCTTCTCTGAATAGTGCATATGGAAGAGAAATTACATTTGTTCTAAAACTCAGTGAAAGAGCTAAAGCCATTAGGTTAAATTTACAATTTTAGCTACAGTTCCTTGAGAATTAAACAGATTGCCTTAACAAATCCCCTTCATTAAATTCATGGAGCAAATGGACTTTTGTACATCAGTAGAGACACCAAAAGTGAAGGAAATCATACTGACATAAAAGACAAAAAAATGAAAACACTAAAAATACACTTCAGTTTTATTTTACAGAATATACATTTCAATTTATGACCTTAATTTCTTAATAGAATCCTGGAATTCTGAGAAAGCACAATAATCTACACAATAATACTCTTCTCATTATCTTATACAAGTTGTGGTTACCTCTTCAATACCCTCCTGGCTCACTCTATGACTAAGATACACAACAGATGCAACAAGAACAAGGCCAAAGCCCGGGAGCAAGAGCACTTTCACCACTACTTCCACAGTCAAAGGTTATAGTTAAGATTAAGTCACACTGTTGAAATGTTATAAACTCTCCAAATTTTCAGCAAAACATAAAATACCTGCCAATACAAAGACTAATCTCTATATAATGTAGGCTGGAAACTAATTTCTAAAGATCACCTGTAATTTAATTAATAAATATTTGTTTCCTCTGATTAGAATGTTCTTACTTCCATTTACATCATTTGTAATGGATCTCCTCTACAGAGTAAAATCAGAACCAACAACAGTAGGATAATTATCTTTAAGGGTTAAAAAGATGCTTAGCAAATTACATTCTAATTTCAACACTAAGAACTTTCAACTCTTTAATACTCTTTCCCTTTACTCTTTACTAATTGAAAATCAAGAATTTTTACTGATTACAATATTAACTAGAAAAATATTAGTCTTTTAATTGTAAAGTCTATGTAATTATTTACAATTGTAAAGTCTGTCCACTGATTTACGCTAGTAACACTGCTCTAAGAGACCACTGATGACTTTCTTTAATCACCTGTAGTTTCAACCCACTGATCAGTATGTTTTAAAAATATATATAGTATAAATTCTCTTGTTTTGACAGTGTTTCCTCCAACAGTACTTCTTGCTTTCAAATCTTCTGTTTTTCCTTTCAATGTGAAAACAATTCAAGACAAGTCAAGGGTACAAATGTTAGTTATAAACATTTCTTCAGTACCTAAGAGGGGCACAATGTTAGGAGCTATGAGCGTTATAGGATACAATGCCTAGCCAGAGGTTACAATCATATTGAAAGAAAAGACCTATAAACACGTATTTGACTAGCAATTTGAGACAATATATTTTATTTTATTTTTATGTTATTTGGTACTGGGGATCAAACTCACGACATTGCACTTGCCAGGCAGGCATTTAGGCCACTGAGCTAAATCCCCAGTCCAAGACAACATATTTTAAAGGCCAAAAAAGTATCAGGAAAAAAAAAAAAAAAGAATTGTTCAGGAGAAATAGATCATTATGAGCTAACTTTTGGGAAACTGGATAGAAAAATTAATCATGAGCAGTATGTTCAAAGTGGAGCATGATTCTACTAAGTACTGAGGCAAAGGGAGAATTATCACAAGAGGATACAACAGACTAAGCAAACATGCGCAGGTTAGAACCCTTATGTGGCATTAATATGTGCACTCCACATCACCTGCTCTATAGTCATCCATAGGTATTAGGCAACAAAGAACTTCAAGGCCGAGTAAATCTGAAGAATGTGGGCCTACTAAAGGCTTATTTTTCTAAAGAAATCTTTACTACACTAATACACATATTAGTGTCCATCTCATCTGACCATGGAGCCCCCTTCACTTTTTTTTTTTTTTGAGAGTGCATTTTGCAGGCTATTGGGGAAATGCTGGTGGATGCTCATTGTGTTGAGTCATACAGGTAGCTGCCCTGTGACCTGTGAACCTGGGTGTATCTCTGTTAATCATGGTGGTAGGCTGGGCTTTGCCACATGGAGGTAAGCTTGACTTACTGACTACTCTAATGAAACTACACAGGATGAATAAAAATTACAGTGAAACTCAAACCCAAATCAATCAGACTGGATACTTCTATTATGAAACTTCTAAATTAGCTTGGAATTCAACACTGAGCCAATATGAAGTTTTCCCAAGAAACATCCTTTCCAGAGTGCCACAGACAGTAGTGGAAGGCTAACTTAGGAAAAAATATTCACAAGGATATTTCTTACTTTTAAACACTGTTCCAGATACTGATGTCTTTAGAAGCAAAGTTTACATTAGTGATCTTAGGTTACGTCAATGTACAGCCACGTGTACATTACCCTAATTCAGTTTATCTACAACTGAACTCATGACCAGTCCTCGTTTCTCATGTTCACTAAGCCAATATATACAAACCAATGCTACCATTCTGCTAGAGAACTGTACATACTAGCTGTCCAACTGGGAAAATTCAGGAACTCTCTGATCCCATGACTATATTCACTCCAACCCCCACCAAATAAGAACTAAGTCCTTGAGTGTCCACCTGTTCATTGCCCCTCTATCATCCCTCTGCTATCACTTCTGTCTTCATACCGCAAGTGGGGTCTGCGGGCTATGACAGGACTGAGGTCGATCACAGTCTTGTGGGTTCTTTAACACTGTTCTAGTTACTTATGATCTTCTACATTCAATTTCTCTGTGCTCAAAATGGAGAAGCCTACCCAACAGGGTTGTCTGAAAACCGCACATGAAGTATAAAACACAAGGTGTGGTACTGAAGAGGCAAGGAGTCCAAACTGTCTTACCCTTTGCTCCTTTCATGAGTATCTCTATGAGACAACTGGACCTAAGTCATCTTTCAAAATTACAAATCAGACAATTTTACTTCCTATTTAAAACTCTGAACTTACTTATAAGTTCCTTATAGGATACACTATAAGTTACCCTGTGCAAGACTTATTACTGCCAACCTTTCAATCTCATTTCTCTCAGCTCCTCTATAATCTCAAGCCATACCTATCTTGTCTTTCTCAACTATACGTAAAGTTCTTTCAAAGCCCTCTGCCCACTTTATGTGCTTTGAAAACACACACACACATACACACACACACACACACACACACACACACACACACACACACACCCCTTCTTCCTTAATCCCAAACTTCATGATGCTTCCTTCCTTTGAGGTACAGCTCAATTCTGAGAACCTGTTCCTGACCTTTGCCCTTCTGATCTGCAGGGTTACAGGATGTCAACCCCATGAACCCTTTAATGGTAACTATTTTGTAGTTTTGGACATACAGCATAATAATTCTACATATCTCCCCAATTAGACAGGAAGCTTTCTAGGAAAAGTGACCTTTGTCCTAGTCATATCTATATTCAGAAGACGTGGATGTATATGTAACATATCCCATAAAGCAGGGGGTTAAACATTTGCCAACCTGTCAGCAAGATTTTGCAGTAGATGCCTACGTAAGCCAGGCTCTGAAGCTACGTCTATCTTCTTAGGGGAACATTGGTGAGTATGTGAATGATAGCCACATATCAAGAATTCAAAAAAGAAAAGTCATGATAGAGTATTATTCATTTAATTACTGTTACTTACTGTCAGTGTTTTCTGGTAATATATAATCTTTGCCCGGACAGGATAGGGTTTATTACGAAAATCTCTCTGGCAACTTGCTAAAGCTTGACTGGCACCATCACTACAATACAAAAGAATGAAAATCAAATAAGAAACTTAGAAAGATTTTCAATATTTAAAAAATTCAGGAGAATTAAAATAATATGAAGTTATAACAAAGTCCTAAGGTACTTCAAGTTATTTATTCAGAGGACAAAAGGTTTTCCTGTCAAAATTCTGAGAAGTTCAATGCTACCATGTGTCAGAGACAAGGTAAGGACACACTACTGTACGTGAGACTTCGAGTACAGCAGTCCTCTAGTTCAGGGCAGAACCTGAATCCTTCCGGGAGCTTTTAAAAATGCAGGCTAGGGGGCTGGAGATTTAGCTCAGTGGCGTAAGCGCCTGCCTTGCAAGCAGGCAGTCATGAGTTCGATCCCCGGTACCGATAAAAAGGAAAAAGATGAAAAAAAAATTAAAAAAAAAAAAAAATGCAGGCTAGAGCCAGGCATGATGGCACACACCTATAATCCCAATACCCTGAAAGGCTAAGGCAGGAGGATCACAGGTTCAAGCTCAGCCTTGGTAATGAAGCAGTTTAATGAGACTATGTCTCAAAAACAAAAGGGCTGGGAATGTAGTTCAGTGAGAAGATCCTAGGTGTAATTCCCAGAATTGAAAAAAAATAGAAATAAAAAATAAAAGCCTACAGATTCTACCCCAAAATCAACTGAGGCAGAATCAAACAGAGGGCCCAGGTACCTCCAATTAAAACAGCTGTGATGTGATCAACTACCAGGGTTGAAAATCATCAAGGTAGGAAATAACAAAATGAAGTATGGGCATTAATTTTTCATTTTCAAGTTGAGTAATAAGGTTCATTGACTGGCTAAATTTCCAAATTGTGAAATAAAATGTATATATCAGGGCCAGGGTTTTAGCGCAGCAGTGTAAGCAGTTACTTGATAAATGTAAGGTCGTGAGTTTGATCCCTGATGCCAGGAAAAAAAAAAAAGTACATATCTAAGTTCACATTTGTTACAAATATACTCAGCACTTAAAAAAAGTTTTGTAAGTCATTGTGAATCAAGCAAAATAAGGTTGACTAAGGTGACATAAATTGTGTGCTCATTAGTTTGGTCAAAGCTAAACTTAAGTTTTGAAAGATTTCTCACTAAAATGAAAAAACATGACTAATTAGCATTGGTGAAAGCCAGGAACAGGCTATAAACCTTCAAAAGTATTATAATTTTAGGTTAAACATTTTATATTTGAAATCTGAGGTGATTCACAGAAAGAACTTTAAAACATAACCAAATAAGATTTTTTCACTAGTTACAAAATAACATTGCAAGAAAAAATAATCTTATTTCATTTGGAAAGCATTCAGATTTGAAATAATATATCTCACCAGGTTTTCAAAGAGAAGCTGAAATAAGAAATAATGTAAACACCATATACTTACTTTTGATGGTCGTAGTGGATTTGTCCATTGTTGCCTACAATTACTATAGCAGGATTATTTTTCTGAAAATAAAGAGAATATATGTTTTTAAAGTCTGCAGTCAAAAATTCTACAATATTTCAATGTGCAGTGTATAAGTAAGTGTTTAAAATTGTGAGCAATTTTAAAACCGCATAGTCTTAGCATTTAAAGAGTTATTAAAAGGTACTAAATTGCCTACAGAGATCTCTGAAAATCAGTACAGAAATAAACAGCCACAGGGAAGAGCACCTTAAAGCTGCTACAAGTTGATGTTGCTATTGGCACACTTTTTGTTGTCTTTGATCACTGGCCTGATTAAGAAGAGTGGTTAACATATGAAAAGTAAATAAATGTATGAGCTAGCAGTAGTCATGCACATGAATACCATGAAAGCAAACTTTTAGTCTTCTGAACACTAAGGGTTTCACTGCCCACACATGTAAAGATTCACGGTTATACACCATAATTACTCTGGGGACTCTGTGGAAGGAGTCACTGTGAAGTCCTCAGTTAGGGTTTCATTACAATTTCAAGTTGAAAATGCCTGCATAGCTCTTAGCTGCTACATGTTCTGCTGCACACAGACTTATCACACTTAAAGTGTCACATAGGAGTTTTCCATTATTAAATTTATGAAAACATCAAATAAGCTCTATTTGTCACAGCCTAACTTTGTCAGACGTGTACTGAAGTGAGTAACAGTTCTGACAATAAAAATACCTTTCCATCATTGTCAAAAGAATCAAAAAATATTCCAACACCATTCCACATATCAGCTGATCCAAACACAGGACCTTCCAAGCCTTGATTTTCTGTATACCAAACTGCCTGAAAATACATAACAAGGAACAGTTAGAGGCCAGTAGCATGTGCATTTATATTCATTTTCTAAGTACAAAAAAATGGTCATACCAGGCCATCAGCGCCAATTCGACCTCTTCCAGTCACTCGAAATGTCACCTCTACTTCCCAGTTTTCAAAGGCTGCTTTTGCCTTCGTCCACACTGTCCCTCTTTGGCTTTTCAAAGATGGTGCTATTCGAATCTGATCTGAGCTTGGAATAGCATCTAAAATAAAAATCAGTGAAGAAAAGCTTGAAGTTATAATTAGGTAAAATTCAACACATCATCTCCAAATTGCTACATACACCTATAAAAATCAAATTTTAACTTATCAATGTGTACAATAATTTTGTTACAAAATAATTTCATGTTGACAATTTTGACAGAAATTTTTGAGCCAATGTCTCTTCTGAACAGTGGAGAACTTCACTATTTTTTTTTAAAGTTTAAAAATAAATTTATAACCATACACTAAAAATTCCAGAGGCAATAGGGAGGAGGAAAGAAATTATAACTTAAAAGACAAACTTTGAATCTGACAATATCTCTTACAAATACCTCGAAATTTGCATATTTAAAAAAAACCTTGCTATGTATTTTATCAGTTTACAAATGTTAGAAAGTTCTCAAACACTGTGAAAAGAACACACCACTAGGAATCAAGAGATTTGTTCCTAGTCTCAGTTCAGTGTAACTTTGAACAAATAATTCTCTTATTCTGTTGATTTCCCCATATGTTCACCTGTAAAATGACAGCACTGGGCTTGATCACTTCTACAAACATGCCAAAAGTTACATGCAAAGTATTCTGCATATATACATGTTTCTAGGGAAAGGGTTGAATGTATTTCAACAAGCAGGTTTCATCATTGGCAGATTGTCAGTAACAACGCCGATCTCCAAAATAGTGTTTTTCATCTTCACGCTGTTTTCAACTGCCAGTTTTGTCACTTACTAGCTGTCTTGATTTTAGGCAAGTTATCCCATTTCTCTAAGAACTTTGTAAGTATGTAAGTGCTTATATGCGAGCATATGTAGGCATATCCTGGAGATATTGCTGGTTCAATATCCCAACCAGTGCAATAAAGCAAGTCACACAAATCTTTCGGTTTCCCAGTACATGTGAAAGTTACATTTATACTATACTTTAGGCTAGTGACTTGTACAAGAGCAGTATATCTAAAGAAACCAATGTACTTATCTTAATTTACAAAATACTTTATTATTTAAAGAAAAAAGCTGACAACCATCTGAGCTGTTGAAAAACAGTGCCACAACATGTAAGGTTTGTCATAAACCTTCAGTTTATAAAATTAAAAAAAAATTACTATCTACAACTTCAATAAATGTAGGCATAATTTTTTAAAAAAGGTATGTTTGGGCTGGGAATTTAGTTCAGCAGCATAAGTGCCTGCCTTGCAAGCACACAGTCGTGAGTTCAATCCCCAGTACCAAAAAAAAGGTATGTTTAAAGTGTTTTAATAATTACATTAATAATTTAATTAATTTAATGATTAAAGCACTTATCAGACAGGCTTAAAATTGGAATAATTCTATGATATTCTCTCAGATATTAATCATTCTGAATTTGTGTTGGAAAATAAAAATAAAATAACTATAAAATTATCTACATATAGGAAAAATTGACAAAAAGAAAGTTAAGATACTTTACTATGGTCACTCATCATCATTATCACTTTCAAACAAAAGTTCCAGGGAAAGCATGGAAAGAATACTGGACGGAGAACCAAAAGCCCTGGGTTTGAGTTCAACTGTCTTGATATAAACTATGTAACTCTTCCCAAGAACCTTAATCTTTCTGAACATCAGTTTTTCCCATCTCACCTACTAAGATACAACAGCTAGCATCCACCTTGCCTACTAACTGAACGATTTGAGAACAAATCTGCAAGAGCTTTGAAGATTGCTATAAAGTTACAAATTATCTTTTTTTTTAACCTTATGGACCTAAAGAAGTGTGCTGACAGTACAACAGGACACCACAGATTTTATCTAAATTTGGGACTGGAAACAAATGGCTGTGTTTAAACTAGATTCTAAGTTTCTCTATTTTTTGTTTGCTTTAAATAATGGATTGCAAGGCTAAATGAAAAGAGAGCAAAAAAAGAACAGAAGATGTAAAATAACCAAGAGATGTAAAATAACCAAGAGAGTACCCAAAGCAGAGATTTTCAGTGTCAGCAGATAGATAAGTCACAGCTAAAATACTAATTTCTTTATTTTAAATTCAGTCTAGCCACACAGCTCAAATTCACTAAGGTGCGTTATCCGGCTGCGGCTCTAGAAACAAACTCAAGGTATGTTGGTACTTTATTAACATTCCTAATCTGCTGATGTATGAATGAATGTGAGAAAGAGAATCAGGCAATGCAGAGGTGCAGAAGTGAAAAACTGCAAACAAATTCATCATCTCTACTGAAAACTGTCATTATTCCAAACAGAAAAACAAAAACAAGATCCAAAAATTTGTGCTCTGTTTCATCTGTAGCATCTTTGTGTACTAGAAATGTTATCTTGATAAGAAATGCCTTGTGAGCTCAGAAAAAATAACTGCTAACAACGTAATTATACTCTGCCTCACATATTTAATGACTTAAGTCATTAAATCAAATTGAAATTTGCACCTGTAATTACACAACAATTTGACGGAAATGGCCCTTCAAAAAAGTGTGCTTCCTATCTAGGGATTACTTTCTAGAAATAAAAACATTTCGTTCAACATTAGACAATCTAAAATAATCATATATAAGCTTTATATACATGAATGCTTAATCATACACAAAGATGGAATTCAAATTGCCAGAGCTTCTCCTGTCACAGAAAGGATGCAACTGATGGTCACAGAACAGTTTATGACATACAAATGCTGTGGCTGATTCCTTAGTCAGCAGTGACACATCAGCACTAAAAGGGGCAGATACCTTTGCTTTCACAAACACAAATGCTCTAGCATTAAGAATGCCAAACAGAGAATCAATAAAACTTGAAGCAGAAATTATTTCAATTTTCAAAAACTGTTAGATACTGCAAAAAAGCTCATGTTCTTAGTCTCTAACACCACCAAAATTCAGAAACACCACCAAAAACCATATCCCTCTACTAAATAAAAGCCTGAGTGTGACAATAAAGTTATGCAATGTAAAGATCAAAGACCAAGCCAAGTCTCTGAGAGAGGTTTTTTAAAAGGTGTAGTTCCAAAATCCTAATAAGGAATGGCTTCTACAGAGACTTAAAAATTACTCTGTAAGACCAATTTGTGCCATCTCCGGGCCCTTTGAGGGCACTGGGCAAACCTTAGCATTAATCATCGCTAACACTGGAGGGGGAAAAAAAAACAGAGAAAGGGGGCTGCCTGGAACACGTCTCAGATGAGAAGACTGGGGAACGCGTCCCCTAGAGACGTGGCGTGAGGGTGAAACGTGACACCTGGAAGCGAGCGGGGTGCTGGGAAATCAAGGAAGTAAGAAAACACCTCTAGATCAAATGTAAAGTACAGACAAGATCAAAGAAGTAAGGACAGGAGGGGGATGAGGGACAGAAGGGGTAGAAACTCAGGGACAGGCAGGGAAACTTGTGGGCCATAGGGACCGCAGGGAGTTGCTGCCCAGAGTCCCCGCCATAGCACATATGGTGTGCAGCGGCTGGTACCGGGCCTCAGCACACCAGAGCGAAGGTGAAAGGCGGAGATGCAAGGAGGGAATCCGGCCCCCCACCCCCTACCCCGGCTTACTCCCCGCGTGGACCCAGAAGGGCACGTTCCCATCGCTCTGCACCAGATGCGGTCCCTTGAAGCTGTATTTGTACTCGAAACGGCGATGTAGCACCGCGCCCGGGTTGCCCGGGGAGCCAGCAACCGCGGGGTCACCTCCCGTGCCATCGCCCCCGACGAAATGACTGAACAGTAGAAGCAGGGTGCAGGAAAGTTGCCGAGCTCTGGGCCTGGGACCACTTCGTCTGGATCCCGCCATCTTGAACTGCGAGCGCGGAGGCCGGCGGGAGAGGGAGGGGCGCGGGAGACTGCGGACAGCCAACAGGGCGTTCGCTGATTGGTGTAGCCTGGAAGACCCCTAGGGCAAGAGGTGAGTCCCGCCCCCGGTCTCAGCCATCCTGGTGGCGCTTTCTGAGCCTTTGTGGGCGGGGTCATGTGGGGGCGGTGTCCGGAGGAGGGGCGGGGCCGAGACACATTGCATTCCGCCAGCTGTGAAGGTTAGGGGATTCAAACTTTCCCATCAGCTTGAACTAGCTGGAGGACCAGACCACTTCACCTGCAGGAGGCTTCCTCCTGTCTCCTACAGTACCTTAGAGCTGCTGAGACTTGCGGATTCAACTTGTAGTAAGCCAGTATTAGAAGAAAGGCATTGCATTTCTTGGACATTGATTATTCAGTAGTTGGTTTTCACTTTGTGAACTTTTCAGAAACACAGCATAAGTATGAATAATAATAGTCTCAGGCCACTAACAGTAGCTCAGAAGGGTCTTTTAGTTGGTTGAGAGGGGTCAGCGGTGCTTCCATGAAGCTGCCAGCCAATCTTCACTTCTCAAAAATAATCTCCAAGGACTTTCCAAGTTTTTGGAACTATAGCAAGTGCACTCAAAAGAGTACATTGTGATTGGTCCTGGCGAGGGGGATTATGTGCTATAGATGGAGTTAATAAAACGTAGAATGACCTTTGAGATTGGAATGACCGTTGATTCAGTGTATAATTTATGTTTTAAAGATCTTCCTTCTCTTAAAAAAATCTGTATTGTCAAAGTACTCATGGTCATCTAAAATTTTGTTCAAAATGAATTAAAATCGGAGATAGCAGTATGAATTGTTTTCTTCTTATGCATAGCTTTTTTATTTTTATTTTTTGTTTTTTTGAGATAGGGTCTCTCTATATAGTTCAGGCTGACCTTGAACTCACTATGTAGCTCTGGCTGGCCTTAAACTCATGGCATTGCTCCTGCCTCACTCACCCCAGTGCTGGAATTACAGGCCTTTGCCCCAATGCCCAGGTTCATTCTTACACATACCTCTTTATTTCATGTCTCTATTCTTGTGGACAGTAAACACCACGCTGCACCAGGGACTGCATGCCCATAGTATTTTAGCTTTTCATTGACCATCCAGGTTCCTATTGCTACACTCATGGCCTATTGCTATTAAAGCTCTTTGCTCTCTGTCTTAGTTACTTTTCTCATTGCTGAGACAAAATACTTGACGGCCAAAATTAAGGGAGGAAAGGTTTATTATAGGGCACATTTTGTAGAATTGTCAGATCATAATTGGCTGGCTCCAAAGCAGGGTCACAGGGCAAGAAGAGCATTCCAGAGCAGGAAGGCAGAAGGCATCAAACAGCAAAGTAGCAACAGCTGAACACAGAGTGACAACACCAATGTTCTTTATGTCCCTTATCCAGGCTACTCATACCTGGGGTGAGCACCCTTAATCCTAGCATCAAACCAGTTATCAATCTCAGAATCATATTTTTAATCCCAAGACCACACACTCTAGATCAGCCACCTCTGAAAAGCCCCACTATGACTGCATGAGGCTTTGAGGAGACATCTAGATGTATGTTATAATGCTAGCACTCAAATCAAACCTTCATGTTGAATATTAAGTCCTCCTATGTATTAGTATCAAAATTTAAATTAAATAGTACAGTCCTTGAGCCTCATAGCCATCACAGCAACAGTAGTAAAGACATTTACCAACCAAATAAGATGTGTGGGTCAATGCCCTAGGGCCAGTTCTCCAGGGCTTTAAATCCATGGAATGTAATATTTTTATCTTCCTCAGTTTTTCCATCTCTGTGGAAACGAACTGTGTATCTAGAAAAATAATACGTATTTTTCAAGACAATGTTAACATTAATAAAAATGATGAACATTTACTGAGTGCTTTACAGTGTGCCAGAAACTGCACTAAGCCTTCTGCATAAGACCTATAGCAGCCTTTAAGATTGGTATTATTATTAGCATCTCTATTTTGCAGACAAGGAAACAGAGTTACAAAAAGGTTAAATAATCTCCCCAATGTCACACAGTAAGTGGCAGATTTGGCTTTCAATTCCAGGTATTCTGTCACTAAAACTGTCAATAAACCATTCTATCTTAGGCAATACATGTTTTCAATTTATTCTTTAACTCTCAAGAGACCTGAATTTCAAGAACAAGAAACTCAGGTTATAATTTATAATTTTGCTGAGTCAATAAATACAAATTATTATGTTCTGTATGGCTATTCCTTTAAAAATAGTTTTATTCTTTTGCAAATGGGATGGGGAGCAAGACATAAAGTAGTTCGAGCAGGCCTTGAATTCATTATATAGCCCATGCCTGTCCCAAATTGCAAGTCTTCCTGCCTCAGCCTTCCTTTTACTGGGATTATTGTTATTGTTGTGTGCCGCCATTTCAGCTGGTTGTTTTTTCTTTTGTTTTGGTTTTTTGTTTGTTTTTTGTCTTTTTTGAGACAGCATTTTGCTATGCAATTCTTGCTGGACTTGAGCTCACTTCCTAGCCCACGCTGGCCTTGAATGTGTACCCATCCAGGAGACTTGTATTCTGAGTGCTGAGATTACAGGTATGCACCACCAAGCTGGGCTCTGGCTGATTTTTAAGTATAAGCTAATGGCACATTTTGAGTAAATTCCAGCTAAGTGATGTAATAGCTTTTAAAACATTCATTGTATAGATCTCTGAATTTTTGGTTCTGATTTTTGACATACAGGTTCATGACAGACATTAGTCTATTATCTTCTTTCTTATAAAGCTCTCATCAGGTTTTATAATCAAATTTATGATCTTTATTTCTTCTTGAAATTGAATTTCATAAGTCTTAGCTTAACAGTCCTTTTTGATTGCTTTATTAAATACCCTTAAAGGTGATTTATGCCTGAAGGATTCCAGAATGTGGAGATTAGAAAGATTTTCAGGATTCATTCTAAATAAATGTCAAAACATTGGTACTTTTGAAACTAGAGAATACGAAAATTACAAAACTCTGATTTTATTAGATTAGGGAGAATGATGGCATGTTTGACATATTATGCATTGATATGACTTGTCCCCATGCTGAAATATTATGTGGGATTTCAGATATCCATAGGCTTTCATATAATATTTGTCTTAGGAAGTTAATGTATGCAAAGATAACCTTTTTGGTCTTGCCATGTCTACGTGGACTAATGGACTGAATTTTAACCTTTGTTTTTTTGATTAAGAATTTTGCTAAAATGTGTTTAGTAAGCTGTGCACTCTTTGCTATGAAACAGAACTAATGAACTTTTCTTCATATTAGAAAAAACAATGATGTGATTCTTTATAATCTCAGGACAACATTATTTTTCATCTGTTTGACAAATTCGAAGCAGAGTTGAGACAAAAGAGAAGAAGAAAAGGGAAGCAGGAGAATAGAAAGTGAAAGAAGAGGAGGAAGTGTCTGGAAAGGGAAGGGAAATGTTCTTATTTGGAGTGTGGCATACCGCACCATTTTGGAGATATAATGGATATGTACAGATATTAATTCCCCAAGGCAAAATGACAAGAGCAAAAAAAAAAAAAAAAAAAGAACAACTAAGCAAAACATTAAACCTGGGGAGGTAAATCTAAAAACTGGAGAACTGGCATATAACCAAGGGAAAATAGCACCCTTCACTGTATGCTGAAGACTTGAGTCAGCAAGTCTGACTTTGTATTCATTCCCTACAGACAGTCTCTGGCACATATTTGAAATGCTGGAGCATATACAGTATGGAAGCACAAATAAATCTCGGTGGTATGTGAGGCAGTAACAAAAGCTTCCCTCCAGCTGTAGTGGTGCATGCCTGAAATCCTTGCTACTTGCGAGGCTGAGACAGGAGGATCACAAGTTCAAGTCCTGGCTGGGTACCGTAGCGAAACCCTATCTCAAAATAAAATTTTAAAAACTGAGAACAAAGCTCAGTGGTAGAGCATTTGCCTAGCATATATGAGACCATGGGTTTAATCCTTAGTACTGCAAAATAAAAAGGAAAAAAACCCTTGTAGTTATTGGTTAGTCAGCTCAAAGACAAAATATTTTTCTACCTCATTCTTTCAAATCACCTGGTGTCATAACATCTGTGGCTTAATGACACTGAAAAAAGAGCAGTTTGTCAGTAAGGATTATTCAGCAATGCAGCTCTCCCACCAGACAAATAAATGCTTCATCAGTTTAGTATAGAATTAGAGGTTGCTTCCTTTCCTCTTGAGACAATGACAGCCATTCAATAAATCCGTATTACTTCAAATTCCAACAACTCAAAACTTGGACTACTTCACCCAGCTTTGAGTTAGGCTGATTTTTATCATTATATTGCTCAAGAAGAAAGGTTTGCTAAGTACATAATAGGATCAGATTAAATATACTTCAAAATTAGATTTTAGAAAATTTTTAATAGAAATTTTAACTGGCTAATTATTCAGGAGAAACATAATGATTAGTATAGATTAGCTGATTTGTTTATTAAAACAACACTGTATTTGTACTTGTTATCAGTTACAATATGTAATCAAAATAAACAAAACTTCATTCCTAAAATATTTTAACAATGCTGAAAGTATAGATTAATATCTCATGACAAACAATGTTACTCTAACCATGTCACTAAATCATGGTAGCTGAGTGAAGTTTTACTGTATGAGTTTTAAAGCCTAAGTTTGAATCATTTGTTATATCATCTATATCATTTGAGAATTCAAGGATAATTCATTGTTAGGAAACTTGTAATATATCACATTCAGAGATGTAGAAAAATTCTATTATGAAATAATCCTCATTAATGACAAAATGTTTTAGTATCTAGGAATAAAAGAAAATTCCTTAACATGCCAAAAACCTGGAACAATCCCTACTTTTACTAATAAAATTTTAGAAGCATTTTTATGAAGGTTGTGAACAGAAAAAAATGTTTACTATCACTCTTATTTTTTTCTCATAGTACAGGTTTGTAGTATATAATGGTTACCTTCTTTGTGGAGCAGTGATACACATACA